GTAAAGGTGAGTACCCAGTGTTTAGTGATGAATGATGTAGGTTAATAATTTTGGGGAATTACTTCCTGCTACGATGACATAAGCAGTAGTTTGTCCTTCACACATTGTCGAAACATATTTCGAGTCGAGAATACCACGTGTAGGTCGGCTGCATAAAAAGAGAGTTCAGTACACTTGGGTAGCAATCGTGTCGCCACTGAAAAAACAGCAACTGGACCTAAGTCGCTCTGTGACGCTACGGTCAGAGTAACTTACACTCTGTACCCTACAGATATGTAGTTGCACTACTTTCCATTATTTAAGGTATAAAGCCGTACCACTGACCAGAGCCCAGTTCGTCAAGATTTTCAGGTATACCTGCAGCCTATCTGAGTCTTTCAAGCTCTTTATCGCTCTTTAAATCGTCACATTAGAGCATGACAGGTCATTTATAAAGTGAAAAATCGCTGAGAGCCCTAGGACCTTATGATGCCCTCGATTTCGGACTGTGCCAGGATCATAGGGCGCGATTTGCATTGGTGCTGGAAAAGTAACGGTAAATAGACGCTAATTATGTCTTGATCATGTCAGCAAACAGTTTTAGTTGTAACAGTAAAACACGATTTCGCTCCGCATCCGGTTACCTCTTTGTGTTTCAACTGTCTACCGCATCTTGAAAAATCCTCATGAGGATCTTAGTTTCAAGTGGCTAAAAAACGTTTACCGTTCTAAAATTATTTTATTTTATAGTTTCTCAGCAAACACTTCTACTGTTGATGTCACCGTTAGCCATGAATATCAACTGTCAGCGGTTACTGTCATACTGCTACTTGTTGATTCCCTCTAGCCAGTTAATCAATGGGCGACTTGGTAGATATTCTACTCACTTATTGCGTCCCGGATTTAGATTATAAGTTACTTGGGACAATCATGTTAACAAGTCGTTTGTTTCCTAAACCTGTGTAACTGATGTCGAGGGAGTAATTTGTTTTTAGATGGATGGTCATGAGCTGTCTCGAGAGACTTTAGGCATTGTAGCGGTAAATAATTCCCCAAAATTATTGACCACAGCAATCACCACTGAACATCGGACTGTTTAAGTCGACTTGTTTAGCTGAAGGCTTCCGGTCAAGCATCCTTGCCATTTGGTACTCCGTCGTGTCACGTTCGTGCACGACCAGTAGCTAGTTAGTACTCAACACGGTTTACGATTTGGTCCCGAAATATATCACGTACTTTGGACGATCATTTGTGGCGTTTTGCTTTGTATTTGGTACACGAGAAACGAATACTTTAGAAGTTGTTGCTATAAGATCTTGCGTTAGTATACTCCGTACAATTCGCGAACGTCAATACCGTCAGCCTCTAAAGCGTCGTATCTTGAGGGAATCACGTACAATATCTAGGGGGTCTTGGTGGCGGTTGTTTTGTTTCGGGAGATATTAGCGCAGCTGTAGTTGGTGAGTGCCTAACAGTCCGAGAGCGTTTGATTATGCTTAGTTTTCTGTCTATCTACTTCGACCTGCTGTGTGGCCCTGCAGCAACCACCAGCGTCCCAAGTTAAAGGGATTTTCAGGTGACTGGCAACTTAGCCGTAGATGGCATTGCGTAAGATTTCCGGCTACCCCTTTCAGTTCCTCTGTGAAACTTGGACATTTCAGTAGTGTTTCGAAGGTGCTATCTCGTACTCAACCCAGAAATTAGGGATAATATCAGAGATTTGTAGCTCAGGTGGATGATTTGCAATCAGTAGTGTTCTCTGGGCTGTTTGGTAACATCTGTGGACATCCCCTCCCCTATTCCATAAGCATATCTCTCTCGAAAATATTCACAAATCTTTCTCCATGGCCATTGGATTTGAGACGACAGAGTGGAGGCTGTGTCGTATAAAGCAACAGACGAGAAAATCTTCGGCCTATTCAAATGTGAACTCAGGACTCTTATTGTGAATAGTAGTGACTGCAGATAATATTTGCTAGGGCTTGTAACTTAGGGGATACTAATGACAGTTCTGGAGAGTATTTGGTGGCTTTTTATTATAACAGATATCTGCTCACACAGCCTACGACTTGGTAATCTATTTCCGGACATCAAGCGTAATGTCAGCCACCTGATTTTGTGCATTCGACACGTAATGAATTTATTTCAGCCTCCTCCTTTTAGTCGGTAGTAAATTATTCATTACTGTGTCCGTTTCGTAAGCGTTTGCCACTATGGCTATCACAGTTGGCTCGGTCGGGTCGTAGCGAGTTAACGTCGATATCAATTTATGAAGATTTGATGCACACTCTTAAGTTTATTTCCATGTCACGTTCTTACTCAAGTTTTACAACGGTGATTCAACTGTATGCACAGTTAACAGTTTACAGAATATTTAGAAGTGGAGATTTTCAGCCTATTTGATCCATCCTAGTTGCTCAACAGTGGTCTAGTCTTGCTTCAAGTGAATTACTGAGAGCTGCTGAAATGACAATTTCCTGTAGGAGATTTCACAAGTTCATAATCCGATGCAGGAAACGAACTAGTAGAATTAAACTAATTAAATTTTAATGGCAACGTGCTTGCAAGTGATAGGCCCTAAGGGAGAGGAATAAGCAGGATAAATTGTTACATAGATATAGACATGAAATCAGCATTCAGACCTGAAAATGGCAGAAATTGCCTCAACCCGTATGTGTAAGAGAAGTTTAAGAGTCCCATGACTAATGCTAACTCTCTTTTGATCACAAATGTTAGTTATAATATTGTTATCCGTATAGTAAAATAGCCTTCATCAGCAAGGGATATCCCCAACTTCCCTTTGTAAATTCAAGTAGGCCAAATCCACAAATCGTCGGAGACGCTGTAACCTGCTCTTCCTGCGTTTACTGCTAGTAGTACTTAATATTACTGCCTAGACACAACATTAACTTCGATTCAGGAAATCTCAGAGATCGCGAGGGAACGATTGGTCCTCTAAGAAACAACTGTGAAAACCGTCCATGCGAAATAGGATACTGGTGCTGGAACACCTTGTTGTTTGAGACACCAGATTAACACGTTAAGCTCATGGTGATTATTCACAACGCACGGGTGTCTTTTGTTACGCATGTGAAATGAAGAACAACTGGCGAGATGGTAAACCGCTTGTATGGTAGTATAGAGGATTACGTTTCGTATGAAATCTCTTCTGCTAATGATTGCTATTGTTTATACGAACCGGACTGATGGAAATGCCAAGCACCATAGTTCCTGCAGGACTATGATGGCATTTTTTCGGTTACTTTCGATATTTCATAAGTAACTGGAATGGGTGGTGTGGTAGAACTCCAGGATATTTGAAAAGAGGGTAATGGGAAGGTATGAAACATCTGGTTAAGTATTTTAGGACCTCCTTAGTGTCCACTTAAGACGAAATCCGTGCTGCACTGGTGGTTGATCAGTCACTGATATTTAACAGAGATATCAGGGTGTACCATTGCTGTATCATGTTTCGGTAGCTTCATAAACCTCATTCTGCTGTTTTCGAGTCTGTGTGAACGTAAGCTGCAAATGAATTTTAGTGATTTCAGTTGAATATTCGTGATATATTTCAATTCAAGTAGTACGACAAAATTAGAGCGTGTTTGAAATGTTTACACTCACTTATGAAAAAATGCGGACAGCGATAACGAGCGATTAACGGAGCATCAGAATGTTCTCTCGGCATGGTCACTGTGGCGCCAAAGATGCAGTCAGTGGGATTTTGTGTCAAAATCATACTGCGATATCATACAGACCCATATCCCGAAATACGAGGCATACTTGTCAGAAATCCAATTGGCCAGAACAGCCCATTGGAAAAGAGTCTTTCTAACGCCAACATTAGTTATCAAATGTCACACTGGCATCCAGATAGTGTTAGAACTCTGTGATATTACCTATAATCTCAGAAACTGAAGGTGCTTTGAAAGCAGGACTGGTATGTAATGGCACCAGAAAATGTGGGTTGAGTAGAGAGATTGACAATCTTCGCCTGTTGCTTGCGGAACTTCTCTAGCTCTGATAAATCTGCCTTATCGACACTGTAATGCATTACTGCATTTGATAACATGTCAGAAAACACAATTAGTGTAGTTCAGGTTAGCCACGAATATTGACTGTCTGCGATTAGCTCTTAAAAGCTTCTACTTGATGTTATCCAGCTAGCAGAATTATGGACGATGTACGATGAGCTACGTAGGGAATAGTATTTACGCGGGAGAACAGGAAGTCTATCAGACATATCCGTCTTCTACGTTTAAGAGGAAACTGACTTGACCGTTTTCACAGCTAACAGGTTACGAACTCGCTTCACTTTCCAGTGGGTACTCTTCATGTGAGTCCCATTAACTTAACCATATTTCATTACTCACCTCGGAAATCTTCTATGCATGTGGGTGCCGTATTTTATTAGTGAGACCTTCACGATACCTCCAGGAGGTCCCTGTGCAAGTGTAAGTGTCTGAGTTACGCAACTAGCCATGTATTTATCAGTGCTGATGGAAATATACTATATGTTACTGTGGTATTTTGTCACTTGGGACTAACCAGGGAAAAATGGAAAGGGTGGATCAAGATTATCCCTCAGCTCTATTGTGCTGAGGTTATCTCAAGCGAAAAGCTAGTCCACTAGTTTGGTGGACCAAAATGTGACACTTCAGCGAAATACATAGTTAGGCGGAGATCCATAATTATTCGTTCACGATTAAATTTGAAGTTCCGGTAATGGTTAGTCGACTACCTTGAGTCTGATAAATCCACTAATGCAAGAGGCTTAACATGCAATGTCCTGATTCTATATGAGGATCCCTTGGCAGACTCTATTGTTTCTCATATTCGAAGTAATGTGATGCGTTTATATAGGAGTGTTTATTAATGAGTAATACTTCTGATGTTCCCGCATGTACAATTTCAAGTGAATATACCAAAATGAATGTTCATACAGTTACTAGCCTAGAATATTGAAATGATTCTAAGGATCAAGTGAATTACAAGTTGTATACAACTTAAAATAAGCTAGTTTTTTAAGCAGAAATAAAAGTCAAAATCTGATTGGTAATTGGGTTTCGTCAGTTAAGCAATACAAAATGCGTGGGTCAGTTGAGGCTGTGTTCTGAAGTTACCTGTGAGAAAGAAGCGTCTATCACACATCATTAAACTATGATTCTTTTGTTATTAAAAATTATTCATATTCCATCATGTAAAATTGAAAATTTTATTAACCTGCTCTTTCGGTAGTTATTACTTTTAATTTGGTGGCGTTACAGGCGCAAAGTATATTCAAAGAACATGGCGGAGTACTTGGCGTCAATTTTCGGCACTGAAAAAGATAAGTTAGTAGTTTCACTGGTTGTCATTAGTTTAGAGTAAATTGTTCGTTTTATTTTAAAATTGGAGCTTGTCGGCATGGAGAACAATGCTCCAGACTTCATAATAAACCGTCATTTGGTCAGGTAAGTCACGTTTTCCTACATATTTTGGATAGACTATACTTCTTCAAAACCTCTACATTGCCCCTCAAAACACAGCTCAGAGTGCAGATGGTTCTCACAGTAAGTTCATTTTTTGCTTGGTGTTAGCGTAGAAGAGACTTTCTTCACTACCTCGGGTTTTTTTTTACATTCGTCATATTTATATGTTGTAGCTTGTATGTTGAGGTAGGTATTTCAGGACATGATTCTTGACATGCCATCTTCTCATAGTATTTCTAAAAGTGATGGTAAGTACAAGCGTAGCGTAATTTTAGGGCTCACAATTATATACCTTGACAATAATTGACAGAACTCTTATTGAAGTGTTACGTGATGAGAATATAATGCGAATCTTATTTTTGGTCTCTGTTCGTGTTTATTCAGGGTGTGCATAATGTTATCATGTGTTATCACTTTTACGTGTAGTATTCCGCTACCAAAGCTTACTTAGAGATTATAGTTTAAACTGCGATGTGAGGTAATTCCTGTGCACTTCTGAATTTAAAGGCGTTTATCAGTACCTTGGAGTTCTGTGTTGATTTCCTCTGAGGGTCTTAACACCATACAGTTTTTGGATTCACAACGTAAACTGCTATATAGGTTTAGTGCTAATTTCGATATTCGTAGCGTAGTAATTTGTAGACGGGCTCACTGATTTCAACAGTGTTAGATTTGTGCTTGAATTATTATCCACATGAAGTATCTAAGTGAGGTGAAACGTACTTCCATGGTAAATCACATTTCTATTGTATGGGTAGTAAGAGAGACTGTTTATCACTCACTGGCAAATTCGGTGTATCCATTGCACTATGCTACTATACTTGTAATCATGTCGTAGTTTTATGGTTTTCCATTGTCCCTCAACTTAAGCTGACTAATATTTTAAGCAGGAATTATTCATGTCACCATGTCAAGGTTAGCGTTGCAGCATACTTGTCCTGATTTTAGTAATTGCTGAAGACAATTTAGGAGTTATCATTTGTTGCAAGTGACTGAATTACAGTAATACTATGTTTCAATCAAAGTGATGTAGAATTCAACCTAGATGAACTGTTATTCTAGTTAGTGTATATGTTAAACTTTGCGGTAGACTGATTAATGTAGAAATGGCATATAGCGTACAATTAACTTCACTTAGTTGGAACAGTTGTGAAATTCTCTGTATTCACGAAATAACTAGTTTGTTAAAGATATAGATATGTCTTCAAGTAACGTAATTGTCAGTTCATTTCTTTGTGACTACTTCAGAAAGCATCGTTTTGATCCCTAAACCTGTGCTACGGCTTACCTTCATTAGTCGGTTTCCTTCCGTTTGTCCTTTGCCTCTAGGTACGCATTAAACATGTAAAAAAACTGAAGTGGATTTAGTCAACTTCACAACATCCTAGTGTTTTAAAAAGGTCGGAAAATAGGCTGCATTTGGGCATAGAAATAAACAATCATTTATTGTGAGGTTGCGTAAAGGCAATCGTTGAGAAAGTCACAACTTTTATTGACTACAAATAAAAAGCACTTCATTCCTTGGCGGAACTTAGTTCCCGGGTGGCTTGAAGTCTTCATCTCAGGTCAAAAATACGTGAAGTCAAAGCAAGTAAACATATTAGATGTAGTAATTGCTTATAAATACAAATACACATTTAATTCCTGGTTGCTCACAGAAGTGTTTTTTTCAGTACTCAATCAACTCGCAAAGTTGTAATCTTTCGGACATAACAAGTGTTAAAGAAAAAAACGTCTGTATCTTGATGGTGCACAAGGCTACATTGCAGTCGCTTTTGGTGTCACCAGCTGTAAGTCAACAGTCTATTTTGAACGAGATCAGAATACAAATTAAATTTGTTTCCTTTTTCAAAGTAAATATTCATATGTTTATGTAGTACCGTTTAGCTAATGCTTTTGTCTTCCTCATTTGCAAAGTTAATCTTACTGAAGTTCAAGCTCAACAGATTTTTGACGAATTTTTCGAGGAGGTGTTCGTTGAATGTGAGGAGAAGGTACGTTTTTACTCAATTCTTTCTTCCTTTTAGTATGGAGAAATAGAAGAGATGAATGTCTGTGATAACCTTGGTGACCACTTAGTTGGAAATGTGTATATAAAAGTACGGTTACCGTATTATTTCTTACATTGATTCGTAGTTTAGACGAGAAGAAGATGCTGAAAAAGCTGTTCAAGACTTGAATGAACGTTGGTTTGGTGGCAGACCAGTTCATGCAGAGCTTTCCCCTGTTACTGACTTTCGAGAAGCATGCTGTCGTCAGTATGAGTTAGGGTAAGTTTAATGTAATTACGTTGATATCTTCAGTTATAATATTCCTTCATCAAGCGACGTCAGTCATTGAAACATTGAGAACAGTGGAGCACTAGGCAGCTGTGGTACTCTTGTAGTTTCTAACTGTTCTCGATTTGTGACAAAACCTACCTTGAGATCAATCACATCCCCATAAGTTCAACTTTTTCATTTTACGCTTAATTCGGTAGTAGATACGACATAGTTATCACCTGAAGGATCCTAAGTTGTGGTGGATATTTACCAGATTATATTTGCTTTGTCACTCACAGTTCAAACCATATTGCATCTCGAGAATTATTATCCACCACAGTCTCACTTTCATCTTTTATTTGCTTTTCTGAAGTGTGATGATTCGAAGTATTGCATTTATGTGCTAGTTCCCACCATGATAAGTCAGTTAAAATGTCGTCATGTGTGTTGATAAGCTAACAGCTTTCATGCTAACTGACATTCGTTTGAGCTAACCGCTAACTGTCTCCAGAATCTAGATAGCACACTAACGAAAACTATTCCTTGCGTTTCTGTGACAGTAACAATAGTTTTCAAGTATTGGTTTGCAGGGATTTGATTGACTGCTTACAGGATTTCACCAGAAGGTCCTGGGTTCGAACGCCGGTGAGTGCGTCCTGCGAAGAGTACCAAACTGGGACGAAACAGCTGTCCGGTACTCCCTGCGGGTTTTCCAATGGTTCTCTAACCGATGTCAGCTCATGATGGAATCCTGTAACCAAATGTTAATTTTACTTAGTTTATTGTCTAAGGAAATAATCTTCATCCGTTGTGTGCTGTCGGTGTTTCATGACAGTCCAAACATCAGTCGTTTAGACTGTGTTCAGAACTATGAGTCACTATTTCAAGGTTAAATGTTTAATCCATTTGGTCCCAACCTCACTTGATTGTGTTGTATCCTCCTATCCCTCTAGTTGTGTTCTAATATTCTATCCGCGTATTTTCTGCTTTACACAACTAAAGCGAATTGACATTTATGGTAACGCGTGGTTTTAATGCTGTGGTTAATTTGTTTCTGCTGATATGCTGACCTAATTACTTGTCATCATTCTCATTTTGTAGGTCTTTAAAACATACGTTTTATTTAGATTCAATCCTGATTCTACTCCACTCTTTGTCTTGTGGCTTTTGGAATGAGCCTATTGACGATTTGCGATTTCACCTTTTATTTCTTCTAGGGAATGCACCAGGGGTGGATTTTGCAATTTCATGCATTTGAAACCTATTTCCAGAGAACTTTGTCGTAAGTTGTATAACAGAAGCAAAAAGCGATACGGACGAAGACGGCGATCACGTTCTCGTTCAACGTCCAAGAGTAGGCGTCGACGCTCAAGATCAGCTGGTCGGAGTTCAAGACGTTAGAATACTGGATACATACCTTCTTCTTGTTTCTTGTATATGAATTTCCTTCCATAAATGTCGTCCTATGGCTGCAAATATTTGAACACAATGTCAGCTATGCAAATGTGTATGGTTTACTTAATGAAATTTTTTATTGAAGTGCTTTTGTTTCTTATAATATGTATTACTTAAGTATCCCAGAAAGGTTCTGTAATGCTTTAAGCTAAATCGGCGAGAAACGTAATGCGTTGGTATTTTCATCGATGAAATTCTCGATTAGGCTTATATCCAGCTGCATAGTTTTGCAATTGATTGTTGAGTAACATTTTATTAGTAAAGCTCCGGTAAGGGTTCCACAGACTTTGCTCGTGTGGCTAGGATGTCTTGTTCTCAGTGGTATCGTTAAAAATGCGAAGTAGCATGTTGTTTATTTAATCTAAAGTGGTCATATTTGGTGAAGTTCTAGTTTTTCATTGATGTGCATAGTGTGATCCGGTTATGGTTTTCTGTGTAAGTCTAAGCTTAAAATATTCAGTAATCCCCTAGTTTGCTAATTATCGCCTGCAGTATGAAGCTGATAATATGCTGTGCATTTCTTCCACTGCGTAATTTGCAAATGATATGTTTTCCCTTAGTAAACTATTTTAAATTCCACTGCACTGTTGTTAAGAATGCTGGATATTCATCTAAATTCATTTTACTGATTTGGGTCGTATACGAGGAATATTATACAAATAAGTGCTCTTAATGTGTTCGAGCGCTTCGTGCATTTTAATTTGAAGTTTGGCTACAAATCTCAGAAAAAACCAGACTCTTGGGACTGTACACTAGCACTAGCACAGTTGTACTAGTAAGAATACCAAAGTATCATTTTGATCGGGCCTGATAGCGGTTATTTTTATTACCAGATGGGCACGCGCTCAGTTTCGGATAACAAACTGATTCATTGTAATCTGAAACTTACTTTCCATAGTGTAGTGCGGTGGCGAGATATCACGGCTGCGAACACAATTCTAGTCATGCTAGTAAGTCATCAAGAAAATTTATGAAAGGAATTACCTGTATGAAACTTACAAACAAGTCTACTGTTACCGTCACTCTACTTAATTAGGTTATAACAGCTGGTCACTGTATCACTGGTATTCCAATTACTCGAATAAAATGACCGCGTTCACTTGGTAGTATATAAAATGTAGTTACTATGTAGTGGTTAGCGATGTTCTAAAATTGGTGGTACTTGGGACCTTTACTTTGATGATGTAATCACTTAATTAGCACTAGATGTCTTCGTAAATTATGACGCACTAAACTAATTAGTGGCACGTCTAAATTAACCTACGGATGTTTGGACATAAATCCAGTTAGTTTTTAGCGTTTTCACACTACTATCAGACTGAATGTAAGCAACATCACTTTAAAAAAGTCGCCTTTCACAACACTATGGAAGGATAGCTGAGTTTATATTGTGTTCAACGCGGTCAGGCTAAGTCGGCATAAATATTTCTGGTAAATCACTCGTTTTGGAGCTTTCAAAATATATTTCAGAATAACGTGTGGAGTAGGGATCTGGTGGTGTTTACATGCCCTTACATCACTAAGACTTAAGCGGAGTTGTTTACTTGACCAACTTCACCGTAGTGCATCGCTACAGCTACTTCTGAATCACCACGTCAGCTATCGTTTCCTAATCCAGTGTGTAACTCTTACATAAATCCAATCATCTCCAGAGGCTATTTTTGTTATTATCCATGACGTGGATACCTTCCTTTTCAGGCTAGAGTAATAAAACACATGTGGTTTCTGAGGTCTTCTGCCTCAATGAATCTGTTGTACCTATGAGTGTTTCTCAAATGAAGCAGTCATCATACCTAGATTTGTTAAAATGTTGCATACAAGGATTTAATTTCTTGAAATATTAGGCTACATCCCATCCCAGGAGTTTATTTTTCTGGTTCTAAAACGTTTATGAGTATTTTTGAGTTAGAAGGATGTGACTAAATCTAGTTAAATGGACGATTGTATGGCGATTTTTTTAAAAAGTGGTACCACTTTTTTTTGGGGATTACAGCTTGATTCCACACCGTATCTTTTGGTACAGATATGGAATTTTCAGCATGTGATATCGGGTGTTTGCGTCGGCCGGGGATGGAACCCTGGACCATGTGCATGGTCGGCGAGAGTCATAACCGCTGTGCCACCGATGCACGGGCCGTTCCAATAAATAGAACAAAATATACCAGCATGATTATGTGAAAATTCAATAGTGTACAATTAACTTTCGAACTTACTACCTCCTTTAATCCATTACATTGCTCAGGTATCAGTGTCAGGCCAGATTTTCTGGTGAAAGTGCAGCAAATGTAATTTAGTTCAATAGACTAATTCCCACCGATAATATGTACTTCAGATAAAAGATTTCAATGCAAAATTTCATTTAGAAGACATATAAAGAACATAACTTGCTATTAAACCACCATAGCAATGGACTACAATTAGGGGGGGGGGGATATGCCAATTGTTTTTACCAATAAGTAACTTAAATCTAAGTTATAATATACCTTGGTTATGGGTGTTATAAGTCTGTCGCTAGAAAACTATGGACCTACATCGATGGTCAGTTCCTGCAGTATTATTGAATAGGTTCTTTGCTGAGGGGTATTAAAATTAGAAATTACTATAATAGCATGTAGCTGACTAGTCGGTATGTTACTATTCAAGTTAATATAGGTTAAATGGATTTGGTTCTGAGATTTATGTGCTTAAATTAGTGAGTCAGTTTTCCAAACATTAATTCCGCTCAAAGCATATTCATACGTTGATTGTAAACTCCGCAAATAATGTGATAAAAAAGTAATTTCTATTTTTTATTCAGATAAAATGATTACATATTGTTTAACTTGAGAATTTATTTATTGAGTGGAGAGATCTTTAATGAAGTATTCTGAAGTTAAGTAATTTGACTACAATGGTAACTCGTCAAAGCTTTCTGTATTTCATATAGTATTCTCCATAGTGTATTCAATGTAGTCTCTGACAACTGACTGTACATAACTGTACTGTAATAACGACCTCTAATTTGACATTCTAGACCAGTGTTTGTGCTTATGAAATTGAAAGTTTTGTTCCCACTGCTATTATTTGAATAGTATGCAAGGACCCCATGTTCTAGGAAAATAATCACCAGAGTTATTGTGAAGAAATTCTGCTTGATATTAATTTTTTCATGTTGATGCATTCTGGATTATGATCACTCTGTTTCACTCTCTCTACATATATATACTCCCAGTTTACGTTACCTTGTTAACGGTTGCCAATAGCGACTAGGGAAATAAGTTCTAACTTTTGGGTGGTTCTTTGGTAGGCTATAATAACTGGAGCATATACATTTAATTGTTCTCAATCAAACGGTTTTAATGGATGGGATTCAGCCACCAACATATTTCTAGTGTCATGCGTGACTCTACTTCTTTGTCATAACCAACGCATTCATCCTTACTTTACATTGTTTAGATGCTCAGTATGTTTTTATGGCTGTGGTTAAGATACTTTCAGATATCAGGGTGTACGATTTTTTTAGATCTGCGAATAATGTGTTGTTAGCACTTGAATGATTCCTTGTATTTCTAGTCTGTAATTTTACAGATTCTAAAGGCTAAGTTAAGGGCATCAAGAAAAATGAAAGAAGATTGTTATCAAGAGTTTGATAATAACACAATAGTCAATTCACTGAGATTACTGCAAGATCTAACGTCTTGGACCTAATTCTTCGCTAAGTATGTACTGATGAGGAGCCTCAAAGTATAGAGCAAAACACCTGTCATCTTTTCAGTGGATTATTTGTAGGTATCGATGCATAATGAAAGCTACCTTAAAATGCATCAACTCACATGTGTTTCTTTTCGTGTAGAGTATACTTTTTAACTTTGAAAAGAAATCAAGGTTTGGTTGCTTTTTATTTAAACTCATGTCTAGTAAATTGAGCTGTTGTATTGTGTAATCCGTCAGACACTGTCACGTTTTGTTACCTATATTTAACAACTTACATTGTGGCGGGTGCTACTGAAGAGATCTATAAGTAGTATGTGGATGCAGATAGAAATGTTTGTCAGTGTCAAGAATATCGAATTTCGGAGGGATGGATTTAGTAAACGATGCTTGCGAAACAAATTGGAAAATATGACAGACAAAGAAGAACAATACGGAGGACAAGGTAGTGCAATACTGAGGAAATGTGCAAATTGCGATTTTACTAAATGGCAGACGTATTTTGCCCTATCTGTACATATAATTACAGATAAGTAACTTCGTTACCAGACTGTCTTATCTTCTATCGTCACACTATGGTGGCTTTCATAGATGTTACTAAGCGGGATTTGTCTCACTGAACATATCATCCATTTATAGCATCCTGTGTACAGTTTTCGTTGCACTGTATAGTGAAAGGTGTATGCTACTTGATATGATCAGTGGACCAAACTGTGCTTCTATTGTCAGAAAGTTGTTTACTATCTTATGGCATCTTTGCAGCCACCTGTGTGAGTAATTTTTGTCTTCTCATTTTAATTTCTCTCCACTTATTCTCCCTTGTATACAAATTTTTAACTGATAGTAATTTATAAGGCTTTGATTGGATTCTGGCGAGTAACTAGTGTAATGTGTCTAGTCCTTTCTTTGGTGCAGACTCAATTCTCTCAGTCACGTTGGCAATGTGGCCACCATTCTAGGTAGCTTGCCATCACGGTGCACATTGATTTGATGATATTAGATGGTTGGAGGCAATCGGCAGGAAGCCTTGGACCTAGGTATCGTGCTAGTTGGCATTCCTCAGCAAGGCGTACCTTCATGTCTCTTCCGAGATTCAAACCCGCGTCACCCAGTGCTGCAGTCAGAGACGTTATCACTGAGCTATTCGGGCTTTAAACTCACCTGTAATCAGTAAGTGGCCTGACCTTTCTAACTCAATCTAACTTCAGTTGGAATTTCTTTAAAACCCTGACTGAAGAAGTAGTGTAATGGGTATGCCAGAAGAACGGTTACATACTAATTTCTACATTAGCCTGGAGAAGCCCTCAGTAATTCAAGTGAAAATAGGATGTGTTTTAGTGATTAGGCCTGGTAAACCACCGATTCAGTAACCTAAAAGTATCTGAATCGCCTACTGCCGTGATTCAGTCCTATTTTTTTCAACTTCAGTCATCCACCTATTGAATGATTAAAATGAATATGGGTTTTTCCAAAAAAATTTAGTTTCGAGGTATTAGTAGCAGTTGTTCTCTAGTAGATAATAAGTTCCTTCCTTTATCGAAAGAACTAGAGAGTGAATGATGTTTGAGCAAAATGTTCAGGTCAGTGTAATCGGAGTATTTATGAACTTTATTGATCCGAAACGTGTACGTGGATTATTGATTTGTGATACAGTGTACAGCAGGGTGACTGGATTAAGCTGCACTATCCATTTGCATGAAGACCAGCTGTATAAAAGCGCTTAGAAGTAATTCCTAAAATGCAAATATATATTTGTAAACTTTGATTATCATTAACATCTGTTTGTCATACGGTTTCTTTCATGGTATTTTCAAAATAATTTTCATAATTCGCTCTCCTACTGTACTAATTTAAAAGGAAGACACTTCCAATCGAAACACTATCGTCATAGATTGCAATTCAATCTAGATGTCTGTTACAGCTGATTCTTTTTTTTGTAATTCTGTCATACATTTACTCTGAATGTATTGTTAAGCAAATCGTAAGCTTCTTGACAAGAAATAATATTGCATTTTTGAATTAATTATGTACATATATATGTCATAGTCTAAAGAAAAGAAAGTGATACAGATTATGGGGATGTTTCCCTCCGTACATAGTAAACAATAGTGGAATGGAAAATGATGTTGCAAGCGTACATCATAAGTGAGTTTCTTGGCAGTAAGTGGACTGTTGTCTTATAGATAGCCTAGATCCAGTGCGTGATTTAAAGCGACCAAGTCTGAGTGAGTATTTATTCTCCAGAATGGCCAATGAAACTGAAAAATAGAATATAATTAAGGA